TATATATATATATAAAGACCAAAATCATAATTCATTCATTTTACATACACTAAAAACATATTTAACTAAAAAATTAATTATTCTCATAAAATTCTTTATCAAAACACGAGGTGAAGCAATTACAGTTTTTAAAGATTTTTTTTTTTTAATAATACATGTATACAACCACACAAACGACTTAAAAAACCAAGAATAAAGTTAGTACACGAGGTGAAGCAATTACAGTTTTTAAAGATTTTATTTTTTTAATAATACACGTATACAACCACAGGAATGAGTTAAAAAAACCAAGAATAAAGTTAGTTTTAACCCGATCAACTATATTAGAATTTATGAAAATGGGTGTTGTGTTGTGAAATAAAAATGTTATAGACAAACTCATCGGTTACATCTCAATTTGTTCTTTGTATTCACCTGTGAAATTCACTCCACCAACCCCTTTGCAAGCAGCCACTTTAATAAAAAAGAATTTAATAAAAATAATGTAAAGGTAAGAATAATTTAGTCTTTTAACTATGAAAAAAGATTTTGCCTCCTATTCTGGATGGAATGAAAACATGGGATGGGTTTGACTGAAATAATTTCTCTTCACTTTTTAAATAATACCAAACAAGGGAAAGAATGAAACATCGGTATTTTTTTTTTCTATTCTTCTTACTTTCATGTCTTCTAAATATAGTGTGAAGAAGACAACTGAATAAAAATAGGTGTTTATTGTCATCTTGGTGTGTGATGACATAAACACCATATCGATGAACCATTGGAATTGTAGCACTATGATATTTTTATTATTATAATAATAATAATAATAATAATAATAATAATAATAATAATTAGAAAGATGATAATGATCTTATTTTATTTTGTGATTAGTAATTTTTATTTTATACATTTTAATAGATTTAATCAGTTAGGGAGTATTTGAAATAATTAAGATAAGAGAAAGTTTAGAGAAATAAAAGTTATATATTAGAAGAGAAGGGAGAGTAAAGAAGATTATTATTCATTTTTCATTTTTCACGTTCTTTGTCATCGTGTGCTCTCTGGATAACAAGGAGAATAAATCATCGAAGAGGAGCCAGAGGCGTAGATATGATACTTTGCATCACTCCAGGTAAAGGGGGAATGAAAACACTCATTTCTGAGGATTGGGTGTATGCATGAAGGGTAAAGAAATTGACCTTAATCCCATAAGTTTTCTGTTTGATGAAATGTTGTGTGCGTTTGATGCGATTTGTTAGGTATATTTTGAATATGTATTTTATTTGATGATCAAATGTTTTAGAGTAATTAATTGAGTGCTATGTAGAAAGGGGTTAGAACACTAAAGGAGAAGAATTTGATGAATTTTAGAGGCAAAAGTTGTAGATGCTGAAATTGGTGAATTTTCCAGATGTACGTGTTTTGAGTTATTATAACTCGCATGATTGATTTGGGTGATGTTTTCTTCAAGATTTGTTCTGATGTTGATGTGTTTGGGTGCTGGATCGCACGCGGCATCGAGCTTAGGTGCTTGACACTAGGTGTGTCTTCATTTGTATGAAGACACTGCCTAGACATGCTGGTGCTGGGCAGGAAAATTTCCATGTCAGACGCAAGAGGATTGTGGTGCTCTCTGTCATGGCTTAAAGTCGGGCATGAGGTGTGACACTGGGCACGAGAGGTTTTATTGGTTGCTCTTTAATTTGTCTCGGCTTAAAGTAGGGCATGGCTTAGGGAAGTTGGGCGTGAGAGAGAGTTGGTGTTCTCTCCCTTGGCTTAAAGTTGGGCATGGGTTTCCAAGCCCGATGTGGATTGTTAGGAGGCCCTCTTTGACATTTTAAAAGATGTTATCATGTCGTCGATGATTGATTATATGATGATGAATATCTATATCTATATATATGCATGATGAATGATGATTCTTATCTGGATGGGTGATAATTGATGTGAATGAATATAGATGTTGATGAATAATGAATGATATGATGATCATGATGAAGTTATATAGAACCATTTGCATGTTGTGTCATGCATCATATTTGCATGATATTGTGGTTCTAGTGGGAACCTGTTCAATAGATCTAGTGAGAATTTGTCTTTGTGGTTCTGGTGGGAACACTTTTGTGTTGGTAGCCTAAGGTTAACTCGGGACTTAAGTATCAACTATAAATTCTTGAGATGATGGTCGGGTGCTCCATGCATTTAGATATAGGTGTGCATCACATTGCATTTCTGTGTATGTGCTTGTGAATGGAATGGTTGATATTTATAAGTGAAGTTGAAGTATGAATTATTGATATTATAGTTGAAGTATGAATTGTTGTTATTATAATTTGAAGTATTAATTATTGTGTATTATATTTATTTATTGTGAAGGATGAGATGTCGAGTGTTGCAGTCCATTCTCTATAGAGTGAGATTGTCCTCACTCCTTGTTTGTTGTTGGTGTGTCTTTTGTATGTTTTGCAGACAAGGATCCTCAATCTTAGGAGGAGCAGGGAGAGATTTAGATGTGTATGTAGAGACTTTGCTGCTAATGTGACACTGAAAATTTGGAGTAGTTAAGAAATTATGTTAATTATTTTGATTTTAGTTCAAGTACATTAAAGATGTAATTGTTATTTAATCTTTAGATGATCTAGTTACTTTCTTTATGACTTGAAATGAGGATGATTTTAGATTTTATAGGTTACATATATATATATATATATATATATATATATATATTTAATTGGTATCTCTCTTGAGTAAATGAGTGTCAAAGGAACATCAAATATTCTTTATGTGTCACATCAATGCTATTAATAATATTATTATAATAAATATTCATTTTTAGATTAATTTGAATGATAAAATACTTTTTTAAAGTTTTTATTTAATTCTTTTCAATTTAGAAACTAATTTGATAGTCATACAAATTATTTATATATAAAAATGATGATTTAATCAATTTCAAACACACAATAATTTGTCGAATTTTGGAGTATAAAAAACTAAAAGTAATAAGTATAATAAGTAATGAGAAAATAATAAATATGCACCTCATTTTTTTTAGATATATGTATAAAGAGAAAGACAGAAAAATAAACAAAGAAAATGAGGTAAACTAATAATTGTGGCAAATAATACAACTGAAAATGAAATATAAAAAAAAGATGGGAGCAAGATGGATAGAAAATGAGATAGAAATAAATTAAGTGCAAGAATATAATAACTCTCGAGTTTTTCTAAAAGAATATAATAACCCTCGATAATGCATTGAAAAAAAGGATTAAAATAGATAAAAAGAAAATGAAAGTAAATATATATATATATATTAATAGTAACTCAAATATAAAAGTATAACTATGAACACACGTTCACTTATGTTTTTTTATCTCACTTTCACTTCATTTATTCCTATTTCTCGTACTTTTCTTGTCACACTATTTATTATATTTATCACTTTTTATGGATAGAAAAAATATCTATCACTTTTTTTCTCTAACCTTTTTAATTATTCCGAAAATTTCTGTTTTTCCACCATCCAAAAAGAGTTTTTTCCCAATATAAAATAGAATATGTCCCGAATTATACCATGTGTAATCTTCATGCACATAAACGAAATATAGGTGTTCGATCTGTCGTTGCATTTTGATCCACGTGTTAGCCAAATCAACATTTAGAAACTGAGCGTTTTTGTTACGTACTTCCCCTTTTTTAAGAAAAGTTTTAATTGTGTTTTTAATTTTTAGTTTGAAATTGAATTATGTTTTTGCTTTTTTAATATAAATTTTAATTCAATTTTTTCCCAAATTTTCCTTTAAGTTTCTTCAGATTTTATTATTTTTCACTTCTAAACTTTTAAATCTATTTTATAGGTTAAATCCAATACAAACTTCTAAATATTTGGATAGAAAATAATAATTAATTGTTTAAATAAAATAAAAAAAATTCAAAAAGAGACAAATCCACTATCTGTAAAATAAAAAATTAAGTTGGCTCCAACAAAATTCAAGGACCTAAAAGTATACTTATCATCAAATTAAAGAGATTAAAAATTTAACTACACTTTAAAAAGAAAACTAGAGCTTTTCAACAAATATCTCTTGTTACTATCTATTTATCTATAGCACAGACAAACGTCCTAAAGTCATATTTTTTAATGATTCATAATTAGATGAATAATACTTTTTATTCAAGTGATAATATTGAGTGCAAAAATTAATTTGAATTGTTGGGTATGTTGAGCAGTATCATTTGTTACGGTAGAAATTTTACATGAATCATATATATCGTAAATATTCTTTAAGAAAGCAAGTGATTTATTTTTTATTTTTTATTTTTGTATTTGAATGAAAATAAAAATAGTTAATTATATCTAATTAGCGATCAAATACATCCTTCTCATTTCATGCAATTCATTTTTTCAGTGGAGTGAATCCAAACTCGAATTTGAGATTGAATCTCAGTCCAAAAGTATATACAAGTGTCAAATCTTTGTGCTAACGTTTTTTCTTTACTATAATCCATCTGTACAATTGTATATATTTTCCCTGTTGGGCACAAAATAATTTGAAAAGTTTCAAATACAATCATCGACGTATTTTTATATATGCTTAATTTGTGGTGATAGTTTTGCAATTCCTGATAATTGGGACAAAAGTAAAGAATGAGATGATGATATATTATACACAAAATGAAAAATATGAAATGAGAATTATATTCTTATTAAGACAAACTTACGACAGTACAAGGAAGGCAAGTACACCCCAAGAGAGAAAGGAATCACAAAATCACAAAATACTTTTTTATTTTGCAAATATACATAATCCAAATCAATACGCTGGATGATTCAACACGAATTGAACAAAGGGTGGGGGTGTGATAGATATTCCATGATGTTATTCTCCACTCTTGAGAGCACATTAATTAAGCAACATGTTCCATATATTAATTATTGTATAACATAATGTGGTGATGAACGTCTTGCATGGGATCGGTGTTAAAGCTTAAGGGCACTTGCGTTTGCCACCATGAGTAGTCAAGCTAGCATAGCAAGGACACACTTCTTGGTTTCCCGCAGTGCCAGGTGGCACGCAGTTGCAGCGTCTGCAACAAGTTCCACAAGCTCTTTGGCAGAGTCGTGGACGCGATGATAAACGACACCTCGCCCCACATGCTCCCTTACAATCTGAAAATATTTCATATACCCATCCACTCACATAATCAATATTATAATCTCAAGTTAATTAATCAAAGTGTACTTGTATAGTTTAATTATTAATTAGTACCTATCTGCTGAAGAAGAGACCCCTGCGTCTGTGCATATGCCTGCGGTTCCTCAAAACATGTATAAATAATAATTAGTAGACCCAAGTTTAATGAAATTAAGAAATTCAACCTAATTAATTTGGTTCATATATATGATCCATAAAATTAATTGGAAACCAAGAAGGAGGGCATTTGAATTGTACGTACCGATACCGATTGATCTGCATCAACGAGATGAAGAAGGAGAAGCGATGCAAGAAGGGTAGCAACTAGAAGCTTAGTATTAAGAGCCATGGCTATAGCCTATATGGGATGGAACTTAATTGAACTAGTGAATAGTGTTATTGGGAATGTTGATTATTGATTGCCAAGTCAAGTGCGTGGAATGAGAAGGAGGAAGAGGTGCTATTTATAGTCAACGAGGCATGAAGTGAACGTGGTAAGTACTGAGTACGGGTAGAATAATATAAATGGGAGAGCAATACAATGAGTTGATGTAGTAGTTAGATATTTTGTGTTAATATAGTATAAATGATTCATTTAATAAATTTATTAAGTCAATCGTTAATAACAATTAGAATACTATGAACATGATTAGTTTTTAGTTGAATGAGTTGGACAAGATCGGTGTGGCAACTTAAAAATATAAATGTGGGAATATGAAAGTGGGACATAGTGATGTGGTGGAGCATACGCGGAAGAGATTAGGAAGTTGGTGTAATGTAATGCAGTGTAAGGGAGAGGGGAGGGAAAGGGAAATTTGGTAACGAAAACTGAAAAGTGGTATTGAAAGCATCGAGAAGCGGAGTGTAGCTAGATAAAGTTAAGTGGCATTGCTTGGTGGGTGAAGTATCCAAATGGCTGGCTTTCAATTAGGACATGCTTTTCTTTTTCTTTATCTTTGTTACAAAATACTATATGGGAGCCTAATACCTATACCTCATGACTCATCACAACAACCCCACGAGTCTAGAGTCTTGTCGAATTTTGCCTAACCCAGCCAAAACTTGATATTTCAGACCATAGAAGCTAGTCAAGTCAGGATAGACCATAAAATTCATAAAAAGAAGAAAAGTTATTTACCTAAACGGTTGGCCACCGATTTAAAAATGATGCAAAAACAACTTACTACTGTAACAATGTGTCATGAATCTTGCCTTATTGGCTGCTTGTAACTTGTAACTAGGGGCGAGGAAGGACTTACCCAACTCAGCAACCCATTCAGCTCCTCCTAATTTAACTAATAAATTATTAAATATAACCACTAATTTAACTCTAACAACCAGTTAAAGTCTTCAAAAATTCACTCAATCAAAATTTAGAGACAAGTTTAAGTGTAATAGAATTTAACTCATCCTTATATCATCAATTTCATTTTTTGTATTTTACTAAAAAAAATTGGTGTATATTAACTTCTTTTATTTATATTTTTTTCATACTAATGTAAAAAAAATTACTTTTCTTTTGTGGAGATTATAAGAAACCAATTTTTAGTTTACATAATATTATATATAACAATGTGATATAAATTATTCTTGAAATCTCAATTATTTTAAATGGAAATAAATCACTAGAGTTTTGACTTAGTGATGTAAGCAGTATTTTAAAAATCGGCTCGGACTGACCAATTAGATCGGTTGAACCGGAAACTGGTGGTCTAGTCAGTCCCTGTCTTGAGTTGGATCGGTTATGCATTCGACTCGTTTCAAATCAAAGTAAATTGGTCAATTTTTCGATTTGACTAATGAATCGGTGGGTCAAACCAATTCAACTACAATTTTTTAATATTTTTTTAAAGTAACCACAAACCACAAAAATAATAATGGGAATTCAATCCTAATCTTATCAAACATAACAATGACCACTTGTTCTAATGTATTTGTTTGTAATATACGTAACTTAAATAACTTTTATAGTATATTATTAATTTTAAATTATATTAATATCTATGTAGATATTACATATATTATTTTGTGATATCAATTGCAAGTATATTATATATATACATATTATTTATATTTTTAATTTGTATAAATGTATAGTTTAACATGTAATTTTTTTTATGTATTTATTTATACAAAATAAAAATAAAGATAATTTTAAATAAGATGAAAATTAAAATTTAAAATAGGATATGAATTCATTAAAATCTATAAGTATAAAATATATTTAACATGAATATTATTTTAAAAAAATTCATAAAAATCGGGTCATGCAGTTTAATTAGTGACCCACCGATTCAACCTTTAACCTATTGATCCAGTATCTTAATCTATTTGAGGATCGGATTTTTAAAACTATAAATGAAAGACTTGAAATAATATGTACAAAATTTAAAATTTAAATCTTGTTATTTCATTATAATTCCTACTTACAAATTTTTTTTTACTTCAAATAGAAATAAGAGCTTACTAATATTTCAGATCAAACTAGTCTTGTTTTATTTATTTTTTAATATAATAAATAATAGTGTAATTTATACATTCCTTAAACTTTAATTACATATGATTTGAGTTTAAATACGAATTAGAGTTTATAAATTTTATCCTATAAAATTTTAGAGAGAAATTAAGATAAAATCGTGTTTTCCTCATCCCTTGTATGCATTCGGTGCGGATGAGGATATATATGACAGGTCATTTGAAGGAGCAGTGTAAAAATCTGGCGGCGTGGTTTAGTTGAAATGAACTAATCTAAAGGCAAAGGTACGTAGTCCATCTGGATGTTCCCATGTATGATTGCATTGCATAAATTAATTCACGTATATGTTCGTGGCCGACCCTATATTTTGGGTGTAGCTAGGTTGCATTATTGGGGAGGGGAAGAAAGATTGCATGAATACACGCAAGTGTTAAATTGTTTTCATGTAGAGGGAAAACTACAAGTGCTGAATTATTATTGTAACAGCCAAAAATTCCCTTATTAAAGTGTCTCTCCATCAAGTTTGGCTTTGGTAGATGGTGATATATATATATGTATGTACATGGAATTGGATGCAATAAGTGTGTGGACTGTGGAGTAGGAAGAGGAACTATTAGCAGAAAGTGAAAGGGATTGTTGAAGCCATCCTTGACAGCTGTATGCGGCGGCACTACAGCTGGATTATGCTCAAAGCAAATATTTATCACTTAAAACCCACCCACTACAAAATTATCACCTACTATTTTTCTTCTGTCTTACGTCCTTTTTATAAAAAATAAATTAATATTTTCAGTCCATCTAAGATATCATTAAATCTCATGAATACAAATGTTATATAAATGGTTGAAAATTTTGGGTAAGAATAGATCACTTATGATGTAAGACTTCGTCTTTGTAATACCTCATTTTCACAACAACAAATATGAAGTGCGGGGCAATCATATAAAGGTGAACAATGAATATCAAAAGAGTTGCAAAAGAAAAAGTGAGAAGGGAATAATACATGTATAACAAAAGAGAAAATAGTGTTGTAAAGTGCATTTGGTTGTATAAATATATGCGTATCAATCATTTGAAGGAATTTCTAGAACAATTGGAGTCCAGAGCATTTAGTTTACAATTGGCACAGGCGTAGATATCAATAGCTAGCCTTTCCATTTGGAAAAACATTACTAAAAAAAAAATGAACAGCATTTATATAAATTTTTTAACAACACTTTTACGTGTTGTCAATATCTGTATTATTAAATAGTTTTATCTTTAATAACACATTAAAAGTGTTATTATAAAACATAATTAAACTAACATTTGTAATAAATAAGTGTTATCGTAAAACTCCTTTAATAACAACTCTTGTTTTACATAAGTGTGAAGCTTTTGGGCATGAAAATTTCACGCACTAGTATCTTCTACAAACTAGTAAAAAAAAATTCTCTCTCAACTATTTGTATCACCATCATGAATTCATGATCACCTCTATACGTGATCTAATCACCTTTCTTAATTTTCTTTGTTTTTCTTTTGGATAAACTGACATGGTTTTATCGGTTGGTTTTCGAATAAATATACTCAAACGGTGTTAACGTGTATAAAAATATTTTAAAGACATTATGTAATTTATCATGACTCATACAATTTTATGTGTTTATATTAACTTATTTTAAGAATATTTTCTGGAAGTTTCATGAAAAGAAATTAAAAATTAAAGTAATTATGTTCCATAAAAAATAATGCCACTAAACACCAACTATATTTGTCCTTTTGGCTGATTCGAGTGTTTATGATAAATATTACAAAAAGAAGTATAAATACATTTTTTATAAGCTAAAGAAATATTATTAAAAATGAGTATAAGAAATAATCAAATCGATTCATTACAAATTTAGACTAAGACAAGGACACAAATAGAAGACAGTTTTCACCCACCTCATTAGAGACCACCTATAAATGCATTTAGCCCAGCACTAACAAGTTCGGTACGTAATGCCTAGTAATATAGTCCTAGCTCGAGGCATGCAAAATATGTAAGAATGAGTGAAAAATAAATTTCAAAGTACTTGATTGATTTTTTTTAATGGAATTTCATCCCTAATACTCAAACTGAAACCTTCTTTAACTATAATTTTAATTTCATAATATTTATTTGTAGAGTAAATAACAATTTTGATCTTTGAATTCAGAAATCGTTGCTATATTAGTCTTTAAAATTAAAGAATTGTCAATTAAGTTCTTGAAAATTAAAAATTAACAATTATATTAGTTTAAAACTAAAAAAAATGTGATTAAAATTTATTCAAAATCAAAATATAATATATAATTAAATTTAAAAACTTATTTATAATATTTTAGAGACTTATTTAAGAACTTTGTAGTATGTGATCAACTAATATAATATAGTATATTCCAAATTCAGATACTTATTCTAAAGTCAAATAATAAAATGGTATTTAGTGTTAATTACTTGTATTTTTAAATGCAACATATCAGTGACCCAAAATTAAAATATTTTAAAACCGTATAGAAGGCATGAAACGTTTGTAATATTGGAGTAAATGATGAGTCATGCTCTATTAATTTAAGCTTGACATAATATACCAAAATGGCAAAAATGTTTGCATTGCAATTTTGCCTACTCTACACGATTGGCACAATTAATTTGGTTGACCTAATTTCCTGAAAAAGAAAACCTATGAAACTTCTCTACCTATCCCTTTGTATTGATCTCTGAAGCAACGTGCAGAATGAGGGATCTGAAAAAAGAATGTTATTATAAAGTAAAGTTTTACTGGTCGTGAACAAAGCCGAAGAACAAGTTGTCTGCCAACAAGGCTGCAACTAAGATAAGGAAAAAGCAATGGTGACAAGGACTTACTCCAACAGCTGTTGCTTGAAGATACTAATTTGTCCATCATCAAATTAAAGATATATATAATATTCACTGTTAATGCGTCACTGTAAGAAAGATTTTTTGTGATTTTTTTTTTCCAATATTACTATAATTTTTCTTATTACATGCGAATTTTATATAAAAAT